ACCCTATTTCGAATATAGCCAGTTACTCATCATCAGTGGTCTTAGGAAATATTCGAATTTTATAATTAGTTTAAACTCCGTATATAATTTGTTTAGATTGTACATTTATTTATTGTTTTACATTCACATTTATTGTTTTATTGTTTTTACTTATTATTTTTAAGCAATTGATATAATCAGTTTATATTGTCTCTAACTACATCATCGATACGTCTTTTATCATTTATTTCATTTTGAACATTGATTAATTGCGTTGAACATGTTAAAATAGAATAACTAAATATATGGACTAAGTAGGCCAGTATACGATTGAGATTATTACGATAAACCATTTTTGGGATGTAAGGGATTTTGCATTTTATACACAGTGACAAAAACTACGATTCCTTTTTAACGTATTTAAAGACCTCTCAATGAACTATGTATGTATATTTTGGAACTATTGGAAAGAGAATTATGTTCCTCAAGTGGACAACGAAAACAATAAGATAATATATGTAAATAGAGCCATTTGCCAACCAACAATAAAAATTGAATTGAATCCAAACATTCTTCAGTGATTATCAAACTTTTTATGGCAGACGACTCACTATTTGAGAGTACACATCCATACGTACAGAGATTCATAGGAACAGATTTATGAATAAGAAAAAAAATTGTTATTTCTCCACTTTTTAGAGTTAACAGCAAACAAAAGAGTTTATTTATTTTTTATAGTTATTAAGAGAAAAAAACAGCTACAAAGCAACTGGAAAAAAAAATAAACAAATTAAACAGCAACACATAGGCAAAGGCAAAGGCAAAGGCAAAACTAATTTCATATTTGTATTTTGTGCGTTGAATGGCACACATGAACTGAATTTGAATTAAATACCAAGAATAATGATGACTCATACGAGTGTTGCGCGGGAATACTAAGTTCACCAAAAGCACAACAAACTCCCCACCCCGACGTATGCTCCTAAAAACATTCCAGTTAGAAATTGTATTAAATGTTTAGATAAACAATATTAAAAATTTATTTTCGCACTTTGATTACTTCAAATTTAAAAATAAATAGCAAAAGAAGAAAAGAAATTTTAAGAAACTGACAACACAAAGAGAGACAGACTAACAAATAAATATTAAAAAAATAAATAAAATAGTTGGAAATGAGAATAAATATTTGCACAAGGAAAATTTTTATACAATAAGTAATAAGAACAACAACACCAACAACAGAACAGAATAACATAAATGACATGACGTATCGTGCTTCTCTGTTATACAAACTAATTAAACAACAACACTGCACACTGCTCTTGCTCATTGTACAATTCCCATTGCTGGGTGTTGATATTGTTGTTAGTATAGTAGTTGTTGTTTATTTAAAGAACTAAAAAATAAATAAATAAATAAAAGGCATTTTTAATATGTGTTTGCATCCACATAAAGCACAACGCACAACTCTTCTGACACCACCAACGATCGAAAAACCTAGAAGAACGCAAAACAAAAGAGACCGAAAAAAAAGGCCCGATTTATGTGCATATATCTTCAGGTGGGAGATAGTATATTTATGACGTTTAGATTATAGCAACAAATAATGTAATATAGACGTACCACAAAATTCAGATTTACTATAAAAATTAGAACTTTCTTTCTAGCCTCAGCTCAGAACGAAGATTAACAAATATAGTGCTCTTTTTATATAGACTACTAAAATATATGTATATGTAGGTCAATATGAAACGATCGTTTTGAACATGTTAGAGATAGGTAGTGATCATATACTGTTTACAAAAATAAACCGGAATATTTTCTAAGTTTTAACTAAAATCAAAGAGATTTATTTTTACGTTTCCAATAAAAAGAATGAATGGCACTTAAATATAGAAATAGAATAAATCACTTTATAGAGTATAGCTACATACATATGTATCTATTCAACAAACCAAATCCAACCATATAAAAGTTAAAAGAAATTATTGCTATGAAGTTTAGGCCCATAAACTTTGAATAAGGTTAAATACATATGTATACATATAGAAAATATGAGTGTTTATTATTTTCTAATAATAATAGAATCCTACAAAAGGAAGAATTACCATAGCAAAACATTTAAAAACATACATATCTATATACATAATTGATCAATTGAAAATTGAACATCTAAATAGACAACGAGAGGTGCTATAAAGATGAAGGATAATAGAACATTAAAAATATATCAGATTATCTTCTGATGACTTGGGTAGAGCTGCAACAACCTTTTAGCCACTGTTAAACTGGATATACGAAGAGCAAACTTCAAAATGATAAATCAAGTTCACTAAGAAACATCGCTCAAACCATACATATGACAGTAATCGGTTACAATCATATAAGAAGAAACAATTGTTCTAGTGATCAGCAGCAACAAAAATTATTTTTATATTGCTTTAATTAATAAGCTTTTTGACTGACCATACAGCTGTTTTGAGTATTACCAAATACCCATCATCAGTGGTCTTGGCATTATTTATTATACTTAATTGTTCATACAAATTTTTTTTTGCGACTACAAGTACCAAGGGTTGAACTCGTGCCCTTCATTAATCAACTGACCCAAAGCCGTACTTGAGTTATATGTTCGAGCTTGGAGTTTTGTTAATTTGCTGTGAAAGTTCATTAATAAATTTACTTGCAACACGTTTTTCATAGGACAGTATGCCCGTCATCGATATCCATCGATCTAACTTTATAAAGATTAAAACACATAAAATTAGTTAGATTGAGCAATCTTTCCAAAAAGAATTGTAACTGGAGGGGATGAATTAAATTTTTTTTTGTCTTTCTAATAGAAAGTAAGTAATTTTAATGTTTACATTGGTTAT